ATATAGACTGTCATCCTCACAGTACTAGTGAGGATGTGGGGAAAGAGGGTCCTTTACTCATTACTGGTAGAAATGTAAACATGTGTAGCCACTATGAAAATCAGTATCGTGGTCCTTCAAAAAACTGAAAACAGAACTACATATGAGATCCGCCTGCCTCTGCCTCCCAAGTGCTGGTATTAAAGGCATGTGCCGCCATGCTTGGCTGAGGAAGAGATTTTTAAGGGAGGTAGGAAATAGGGCAGTGGGACGCACATGAGAGCAGAGGGGTCGCTAACTGGGGGACCCAAAGAAGCAGTGGGAGGAGGAGGGGCACAGTGGAGTGCATCAGGGAAGGAGAGTGAACGAGAACAAAGTATAATAACACAATGCATGCAGGGCTGTGATGCAGTCCTGGATTTTGTATGCTAGCTTAGCAAAACAATTAAAAAAGAGGAAAGATTCACTTTGCCCACAGTTTTGGAGATTTCAGTCAATGGATGGTTGGGGCTGTTGCCTTGGGGCATGTAGGGAGGCAGTGCATTACTGCACCAGTGTGTGGTACACCAAGCTGCTCATTCATTGCATCCAGGAAGCAAAGAGAGAGGCAGGAAAGAGCCAGAGTCCCAGAACATACTTCTAGGGCACATCCCCAAAGACTAGAATAATCTTCCATGAGGCTCTACTCCTTAAAGGTTCTAACAGCTCCTAATAGTACCATGGGCTGGGAACCAAGCCCTTAACAGATGGATCCTTTGAGGCTCACTTAACCAAACCAAAGAAGTATTCAAAGGATACATTTATGGCATTGCTGTGATATTATTATTTCCATTATATACCTACGTAGTATTTTCAGGAATACACCTTTGTGTGAATATTCCCTTGCACTTAATATTTTGCTTATCATGTGCTTTAGTGAATTTATCTAAGCATTTTAGAGGACTGGCCAGAGAGGAATATACAATTAATTGTGCCTTTCAAGGGGGTCGAGGGAAAATTTGGTCTAGCCATTTTACTGACTGTAAAATCTGGGTCTCCTGACTTCTGATCTGATGGGGTAGAAAATAAGTAACACTTCCAATTACTAGTCTCTTGGATGTTTCCTGCCTCCTTTGTGAAAAAGCTTCAATTATGGTAGGAGCTTCCATGCTTGATTGTGACAGTTCTGGAAATGTTTGGTCAGTCACCATAGGGCATGGTTATCCTGAGCTACACCAACACACAGCCCCAATTTTGTTAAAGATTTCAAGGTTGGTATGAAGAAATAGATGCTGGTTGGAATAAAGTGAATTTTAAAAATGATGCCACATGTGTAATTACCACTAAAGGATGACAGAGTATATAATACTTGGATGTTTTAAGCCTTTGTTGAGAACTGAGAAGACTTTTCATCTAACTCATTGAATAAGCCTTGCAATTCAGTCCCTGCTCATCAAATCCCAGCTGCAAATGGAATGCACTGTCATAAACCATCTTGATGAAAAGTTTTCTTTTCTTTTGTTGGTTCTTTTGGAGACTAATCCGGGGAAAATAAGAATGCAGTAGAAATCGGGCTTGATTATATTACTCAGAAACCTTAGAGTAATTAGAACTTCTGCTGGCTTTTACCTGAGACTAAAATCTCAGGTAAAATAAGGTTCAACTTACAACTACAAAAAGATTTCATAGCAAAGTTTTGATTTTTTTCCACTTAGATGGAAAAATGTAATAGAGATACTATGTATTTCAAAACACCATACTGATCTAAAGTTTTTTACATTTATAAAGGAGAGAAAGGAGATGAGTCTCTATAATCTTCACAATTTATGCAGCAAATACTGCTTTTATTTTACTTGTCAAGAAGCTATAGTTTAATGAGCTAAAGCAATTAGCAAAATTGCAGTGAACAACCAGAGAAGGATTCAGGTCTGGAGAGATCTACCTTCTCGTTTCTTCCAACCTTCTTTACCTTCCATGGTCTGTGCAGGGTATGTGAATGCTTGAAATAAGTGAAGTCAGTCTCCCCAACTCATACTGTTTATAGTGAAGATGCAACCACACTGATAATGACTTTTATTCGTAGAACTATCTTTAGGACAATTAATTGCTTATCTTTAATGTGTTATAGCTTATTATAAAAGTAGTTCATGATTATTATAACAGGTCTTCAAGGGCAAGAAAGGTTTGAAGTGTGGATTTTCTTACCTTTCCCTAGGTTCATACAATGTTCTCACAATACAGAACTTTTAAGGAAAGGTAGTACTGTGTTTAGGACCCAATGACCAGGGAACAATGAATTGTAGCTTATATACCATTACATACATGTAAGTCATTGTTCCTAAGGCACTGCATAAAGTTTGTTTCTTCAGTACTTAAAAACGTTTCTCGACTCAGAGCAGTTCCGATGACCATTCACAACCTGTACCTATTTGATCGGAATGGAGTGTGTCTGCATTACAGCGAGTGGCACCGCAAGAACCAAGCGGAGATCCCCAAGGAAGAGGAGTACAAGCTGATGTATGGGATGCTCTTCTCCATTCGCTCATTTGTCAGCAAGATGTCTCCGCTAGACATGAAGGATGGCTTTCTGGCTTTCCAAACTAGCCGTTACAAACTCCATTACTATGAGACGCCCACTGGAATCAAGGTTGTCATGAACACTGACCTGGGCGTGGGCCCCATCAGAGATGTGCTGCACCACATCTACAGTGCGCTGTATGTGGAGTTGGTCGTGAAGAATCCCCTATGCCCACTGGGACAAATGGTGCAAAGTGAGCTCTTTCGCTCCCGGCTAGACTCCTATGTCCGATCTTTGCCCTTCTTTGCCCGAGCTGGCTGAAACACCTGCTACCTCACCCCTCAGAAGATTCTGTGACTGCCTGAGCTTTTCCTGACTTGTGGCACTGTGAGCTCTTCCACCCACTCCTCCCCAGAGCTTCAACCAGAAGGTCCACCACTCTCCTGCCTTCAGGTTATCAGAATGAAGCCCACAGTCCCCAGTTTTATCCCCTACCTGACTCTGAATCGCAAAGAATAAAATTTTTGTCACCCTCAAAAAAACAAAACAAAACAAAACAAAAACGTTTCTCTGAGGCTGAGGTGATGGCTCACTAGGTAAAAGCACTTGCCAGAAGCCTGACAACTCGAGTTTGCTCCTCAAAATCAATGTGAAAAAACCAGATGCAATGGCAGGCATCTGAAATCCCAGCATTCCCATTCAGAGACGGGAGGTGGAGCCAGGAGAAGCTCCTGGAAGCTCACTGGCCAGCTGTTCTGAGTACACAGTGCAGCCATAGAAACAGCAGAAACTCTTGCCTCAATAAGGTGGAGAGTTAGGACTGGCTCCTGAAAGGTGACCTCAGACCTCCACACACATGCTGCTCTCTCTCTCTCTCTCTCTCTCTCTCTCTCTCTCTCTCTCTCTAGTTTTGATAATCCTCAATCTAGTCGGAGATGTCTCAGATTACACTTCAGTCACTCACGATAAATAAATAAGATACTGCTGTGTTACTGGTTCTCTTTACAACACATATGGGTATTTATTTGTAACTTTATTCAACCAGGTATTTAAGCCTCTCAGATCAAAGTCCCTGTGTAAGAAGCTCCTTGTGCACATTAGAAAATGCTTTAGTGAAATCAGGATTCTTTGTGAGATGAGAACTGCTGACTTGTGGCCCGTAGAACCACAAATGGAACTTGCTTATCACAGTTTACCTTATGTGATACTAAGCTCCTGAGTCTGTTCACGATTTTCCTCTTTGAACTTTGGTCTTCAAGAAAGCTCTCTCTGTTTGGTGAGGAACTGCTAGGAGCAAGTCCACTCTTGCTTCAGTATTGCTGGTACCCATGCAGCTTGTTCCCACCATATCATGGCACTGCCCACTTCTGAAGAAGGCAGAGCAGTGATCTGCCAGTCACTGTGATGCATCACTTCTTCCCATTTTGGAGAGTGGACCCTAGAGATCCAACTGTACAGATGACAAAGTATTTTGGCTTATACTTTTGTTTGCACCTCTGAACTCACTACCTACTCTGTTCTACAAGCCTGAAGGCTGTTTCCTTGTTGAAATGAGCCATCTCTTTTCTGCCTGTCATTCTCTCCATATTCTCTCTCTCCACATTCTCTCTATATATTCTCTCTCTCCATTCTCTCTCTCTCTCTCTCTCTCTCTCTCTCGCTCTTGTTTTTTGAGACAGGGTCTCAGTGTGTAGCTCTGGCTGGCCTGGAACTCAAGTCTATAGACCAGGCTAGCCTCAGACATTCAGAGATCTGCCTGCCTCTGCCTCCTGAGTGCTGGGATTAGAGGCACACACCACCATGTCCGGCCTCACCTCCTTTTCTAAAAGCCTTCCTCACCCTGTTACTCCATGTGGGTGGCTTCTCTTTCCCCCTCTCATATATTAGCACTCCTGTCTCTGGGCCTCTTTCCCTAGTTCCCAGGGTTTATACAACTGTCTGTTATCAGTAATTTCCAGCTTAGTAGGAATTATCTCAAAAAGAAGTATTAGAATTGGAAACTATCCAAGATACCATGTGATCTAATTGGTGTGATTTTTTTTTATTGAAAAGTGGAAAAAATTATTCCAGAGAACATAGTTGCCTTTCCTAAAGTCTTCTAGATTCAGTCTGGTGGCTAAGCAATTTAGTTTTCATCTGTATAATAGAGAGACAGAGGATAAATGTCCCCCCCAAAAAGAGAAGTTTCAGCAATGAAGGGCAAAAGATGTTATCTCCTGAAATTGAAGTCAGCAAGACCCACCATCAAATAAGAGGAATTATCACTACGCAGAAAGTGCATTCTGGGAGGAAAAATTTGTTTTGGGAAATGAATTACTGCCAAGCGAAGCTTGCTTCCCCATCTTCAAGGAGTTGGGAGTTTACCAAAGAATGAGATGCTCTTTAATCCAGTGGATTCCTCAGTGCAGAGGACTGCACCATCACAGGGAAGATTATTTTTGGGAGAAGAGAAAAAAATGTGTAAGATTTATTTATATCTCTCTGATGCTGACTAATTAACTCAAATGTCATCCTAATTGACCAGCCTAACTGTTCTAATTTGACTCACAAGACATACTCCTCCCATGATACCAAGCCTATTAAAGTCAACAAGTACTGACCCTCTTCTCTGAGCTCCTAGTCTTCTGGGAGTTGAACATATGAAAATGATGTGCTTGTGGATCCTGTCTGGAAATGGAATATGATGATAGAGAGCCATAGAACAGGTCATTATCATGTAGACTACCTTAGCTTGCCCTGCCTCGCTCTCACAGAGTCTTTTTCATCTGCTAACAAACTCCTGGGAGATGACTCCTTGTGGTATCTGTTTTCTTACTAGCCACTTTGTAACTGGAGGCAGGCAGACCATAGGGGTTTGGAGAGTACCTGTGTTCACTGTGATCCCTCTCTTGGCTGGTACAAGAGAATGTCCAGGGTCAACCATGTGGTCCAGCTATTGGGTAGAACTACCAAACTCCCTCCCAGAGCTAGCACATTGTATGTACCCAGTAACTTAATGGAACCAATAGACATTTAATGTAAGTCTAATAAGCACCAGAGACAGCATTGGAGATAAAGGAGCAACTAAATCTGAGTCCGTAGCTCCCCTCGTGCCTATATGCTAGGAAACGTCTTTGGGTGGAGAAGCAGCTAAACCAAGATCTCGATCTTGGGGGAAGAAGTAGAAGTGATTAGAGGGGGGAGATTTAGTGTAGGCAGGAACTGGAGGGTGAAGGGGTGGTCAGACACCTAGAGGCATTGTGCAAAGAGGGGGTGGAAAGACCCCATAGACCATGGTCAGCCACCTTGTTATCTTCTTTGAGGTTTGTGCCTTTTAGTAGATCTGAGAAGAGAATTTCAAACTGTCAGCATCCTCTTGGACAATTACTTGTGAGGATCATAGCATCAGGATTATATTGAAACTCATCTTTGACATAACTGCTCTTAAAAGGAGGGTTTCATTTTAAGTAAGTCATTGAGAGTTGATTCTATTTACAGTCGTTACTGTTGGCCTGCTTCTCAAACTGAGTGGCCAAAGCCTGTGTGGTCTAGAGTAGCTCACTGTCTCTGAACACCCAAGCTTCCTGTGGCACTCAGACTGTTTCCTACTTCATGTTCATGTGGCAGAGTCACCTCAGCTATGTATCCCCCTTGACCAGGCGTCTGCTGAGCTCACCTACCTCATCTCTTGCTCACCCTCACTTGTCTTTGGTGACCGCACATAGCACATGCTAATTTGCTTTCCCCGTGTTCTCTCTTCCCTGGTACATGTAGTGCTCCTCGATTTAATCTATACACTGGCTTCCAGGTATATAGAGACCCAGCCTAGGCATCACCACTTCCTAGAAGTCTTATCTTTTCTTTATTTTACCATGCTAGAGAATGAGCCTACGTCCCTGGAAGTCTTTTATCCTTCTCTCAAGCTGAACTGAGGATTTTGTTTCTGATTTACCATTGGAAGTGCCTCTGTCATAGCACTCAAATGCCTGTATGTAAGCTAGTTATATAAACTTTGTAATTAAATGCACTGTGTCTCAGCAGGCTCCTGTAAGTCTAGATCACTTCAGAGCCTCAGCATGGAATACCATACTTAGGAAGTAGACCTAACACATCTTGGAGGAAGGTGCTCTGATTTGTAAGAAACAAGTTGTGTTTTAGGGTTTCCCTGACCTCCATAGAGTCTGTCAGCTTTTTTTCCTTTGCCTTCCTCTGCACCAAGCCCTTCGTATCTTGGAGATACTTATATATGCCAGTAAATTTGGGCCATTGATGTGGGTCATGGCTCATTGTCCTGTCCTTGCCTCTCAGAAGAATGATGCCATTATGGAAAATAGGTTTGCCTGGCATGCAGCGTGTGTGACAGAGAGAAGGGAATGAAAACCTGTGTCCAGACAGCCATCAGGAAGCAAGGGCATCATAGGTATCAGATCTCTTGGCAAAAATCAGTGGCTGTTAATTGACATAATCAAGGATCTGTTAGGTGACAGTGCCTCAAGAGAAGAAGAGAGCTGCTTTAGTCCTGGCCGTGTGTCATGGCATCTGCTGGTATCCCATACCTGGTCCCTCTGAGGCTTCAAACGCACAGGGCAATTTACTTTTGCCAGTTGAATGTATTCTCCCAGTGTACATGTGGTGGCTATGCATTGTGGCTGCTTTGAAAGTAAAATGGAAATTGTTAGCAAAGAAAGGCAGTGTGATGTTCAGGTGTTTGAATTATAGTGCGAGGTTTCATCTTGAAAGTAATTACCTGACATGACTAAGTGATGTATGGAGATTATAATGAAGTTATTTCTGGGAGGGGTGGGTTATGGATAGAAGAGGTATGAAGGAAAGCTCTGGGGTGCTGGACAGGCACAATGTGGAAAATTGTGTGTTGATCACGTATACACAGCTTTTTACATATAAAGTACCATTGAACCAGGTACTGAAGACATACACGCATGTCCCTGTGCACAAATGCCTTAAAAAGGAAGTCATGAAAATTTTTATATTCACTGAAAAACTGAAGCAGAAAGTTGGTTCTAACACAATCAAAATGTCCTGTGACTAAAGGCCAGCTTCATGCATGTCTGATAATCAGGCTTATGCGGGGTCTGTGGAAAATGGTATAGCATTTTCCTCCTCCCTTCCTCCAAGTTCTCTGTATCTACACCACTCAGCATAAGGACTCTGGGGGCCCTTGTTTCATGTCATCAAATCATTTCTTGGCCTTGGATTGAAATAAAGCTCTGACATAAAGTACATACAGGCTACCAGCTATATCCCCAGATTCAACCAATGAGAGCTCAAAAATACTTTTAGACAATTGTACCTAGACTGAACATTTACAGACATTTTTCTTGTCATTATTTCCTTAG